ATATATATAAAACTGAAAAGAGGTGTGTATCTATGTATTCACTCACTTTCCTTTGAAGCTCAAACCTTAAGAAACCATACATTTATTCAAACAAGGTCCACCTGTGGGCACTGTTGTTGTCAAATGATCCTTTCACACGGCTCAGAGACAAAGTTGTGGAAAAGTACAGTATATGGTTGGGTTTTAAATTATCCCAAATCCTGAACATCCCACATAGCACCAATAAATTCCTTATCAAGGCAAGTTTGTTTGTAGAACTCATTTCACCAACAAAACAATTCAAAGTTCTTCATGTGATGAAAAAGTGAATCACAGTTACATAATAAAGGACAGGAAAGATGGACCAAAGACAAAATCAATGATGTTTCAGTTAAATATTTTAAACAGAACAGTCAAAAGCTACACTAAAATGGGTTTTTAACATTGATTTAAAATAATTTAGGGTTTCAGCATTCTTACAGTTTTCTGGAAGTTAATCCCAGATTAATGGATCATAAAAACTGAATGCTACCTCTCCATGTTTGGGTTGGGTTTTGATTCTGGGAATGTGGAGTAGACTTGAACCAGAAGACCTGAGTGGTCTGGAAGTTTGATACAATAACATCATTAGGAAGAAATATTAGGAATTGAAATGATTATGCCACCAAAAGTCACTGACCATGCCAAAAAAAAAAACTTTAATTTGAAAACAAACCAAATGGCCCAAGTTAACCTGATGAAGCTTTGCAACTCTTCTGTGGAGATGGGAGTATGTGTCCATAGGACCACTATAGGGTGTACAGAGCTGAGCGTTGTGGAAGAACGGCTAAGAAAACATCACTGCTTAAAAAAACAAATATTTAAATAAATTTGGAAATTCTTCATGTGGAAGAAGATGCTCTGGTTGGATGAAACTTAAACTGAAAACTCTGAACATCAATACCTGTCATGCTGTGAACACCAACCCTGCAGTGAAAGATAGTGGTAGCATCAAACATCACACTGTAGGGATTCTTTTAAATCGGTAAGAACAGAGTGACTAGTTGGAGTGGGATGAAAAATAGAAATTTATGTTATCTTTAGAATGAGGAGTTGAGAACAATAATACCTGCAGACTAGTTGCGTGCTTTGTCTAGCTCTACTGAAACCACAACTTTTTGTGGGTAGTTGTGGAAATAAGGAGCACAAAGGGAAAATAAGGATTTTCTCTGTCTCAAAGGTCCGAGTTCTTGGTGGCATTCCAGCTCTGGTGCACCTCTTCACAATTGACAATGTGGAAGTGCAGCGTTACGCTACCGCTGCCACAAGGAATCTCATCTATGAGAACACTGACAACAAAGCAGCTCTCATCCAAGCAGGTGGACTAACGCCTCTTGTAAACATACTGAAYCAACCGGATGAAGAACTTCAGAAGACCATTACAGGTGGGAACAGAGTTTAAACCCAGAACTGCAGGAGCTCTACTTATAGGCTGATAGTCCCTGAGATAAATGCCTTGGTGTGTTGTTAGTTTGAATTCCACATTCAGAGAACATATTTAAAATACTGCTTTGTTTGGGTTGCAGGTGTCTTGTGGAATCTGTCCTCTAGAGACAACCTGAAGGAGAGACTTTCTGTTGAAGCTTTACAGCTGCTCACTGAGAAGATACTGGTTCCACTGTGCAAGAGCATCCCACTAAATCCATCTGAGAGAGAAATCTTTTACAACACCACCGGCTGCCTCAGGTGAAGGACACCTCACTGAACACTATCGTCCAGGCCTGAGTCTGGCTCTGGCAGATTTCTTCAATAGCATCATACTAAGTGGCTGATTTACCAATATCCCAAATAACAAGAGCTACAGTAAATTCAGGGTTCCCACACCTTGGTCAACATCAAATTCAAGGACATTTCAAGGACTTTCCAGGACCAATTTCCTCAAATTAAAGACCACAATTACCTACTGCTACCGCAGAATGTAAACAATAAACAGTTTTAAAATCATGTAAATTCAATGAAAAACTGAACAACATAGAAGTTGTTGAGTCCAAAACAATGACGTCAGTGTACCGTAATCCTGAGTTATCACCGCAACAAATGTAAGCATTTTGTAAATTTTATTTTATATTTTTTTAAACGATGATGAATATCAGTCATGTGAATAGAGAATTTCAATCCCCATAAAACATTCAAGGACTTTCAAGGACAAGTGTAATTTTTGGCTGTTTTCACAAACTTTCCAGGGCCTTGAAATAATTTTTTCAAATTTACAAACTTTTAAGGATTTCAAGGACCTGTGGGAACCCTGTAAATTGCTGCACGAACTAAAACATTTCTTGTGCTATTAGTGGGTGTGGTGCAGGTGATCTACTAAGATTTTGTGCASAAAAGATTACAGGTGCAAAAGTGGTATGTGCCACCCTATTGGAAWGATCCAGAAGCAAGAAAATGCAGTGTTGCAAGTAGTTTTTCCATAAGTGATTTGACATAAGTGATATATATTTGTGACTGGCTCCAAATAAGATACGTGTTGATCCTTTATGATGTTTACCTGTATACTAACCTTCAGAAATCTGTAAATTTCACAAAAAAGTTTGTAGCACTTGCACACAATACAACGAGGCTGGTTAGCATGCCTAAAAACAAATGCTAAATGGATTGCACCTGCTATTTTGCACATTTGACAGTTAAAATTCATGGCACACACCCTTAATAAATCAGCTTTGGGTACACTGTCAAGTTTGTGAATAGTAAATGGACTTTACTTAAAAAGCACCTTTCTATCCAACCAGGACACTCAAAGTGCTTCACACTATAATCTGTGCCCTCGTTTACCCTCATTCACGCAGCACTCTACTAGATCTCTACAAAGCTAACATGTACAATCATCTATAGAGACTAATCAGTGCTTTAAATCACATTCATACACTGATGGGACAYACATCAGAGGTATTGTGGGTTCCCAAGGCTACAACAACTGAGACAGCTGGAACAGGGGATTGAACTGTACTTACCCTAACCCTAACCCTAACTTTTTATACAGCAAACCTTTAGTGAATCAGCCCCTATTATTTATCTATTATTTATCTAAAGGCCCTGTCACACTAGACAACTTACGCCAACTTATAAACATTTTAAAGATGTCAACATTGAAGATGGAATTGATAAAATCAACAGGAAACTTCTTTTCTATGTATACATAATGTAATTCGAACAAATTGATCAAATATATAATTTTATTAGCAATTTAGACATAAAAAATGTTTGATAAGTTGGCATAAGTTTAATCTTAAGTGTAACAGGAACTTAAGATTGACAGTATTATCTTTGTTCGGTTACTATCAACCTGATTGTTTAAGATAACTTCCTCTGAATGAAATCCAACATATTAGTCATGTCTGCATTTGTTAAGGGGATGCCAACAAAAGCATGGGATGATTACAGAGCTCTACATTTGTACCAAAAAAACTCCACTAAAAGCAGTAAAACAAAAGGATCAAAAATAGTGATGCTAAGCATTAAACTTTGACTTGTACATTAATTGACTTGTAGTGTCAGATCTTGGTTCAGCTTGTTCTCTCTCTAGTAGGAATGTGAACTGCTGCTTTGATACGTAATACCCTATAGAATCTGCTCATGAATAAAATATTCCTTTCATATAACTGGTTAGAATCAAATTACGCTAGTTATAGTAAGAGACATGATAAAATTTGTTTTCCTGCAGCGGGATGAGTTTGAGGTATTAATGTTTCTCTCGTTGTGTTTTTGCACATTAAGGAACTTGAGCTCAGTGAACGAGAGAACAAGAAGGAAGATGAGATCAATGCACGGTCTGGTGGACTCTTTGGTGAGCTACATACAGCAGGAAGAAAAAGGAGATGATAAGGTAACACTGGCCTGCACCAACAAGTTGTAAATAATGCAGCTATCCAAATAATGGGTCCGATTTCACCATCACACTGGTGTAGATTCTCAGTCATCCAGAACATGTTAAATAAAAAAAGGTTAAAAACCCAAAATAACTAGACTTTGATTTTAACTGCAGAATAGAAATCCAGTTTTATTATTTAACCCTTTTTTTTTTAGATTTCACCATTCTTTTGACATTGTGGCTGCAATACACAGGAGTGTCCCTGTAATATGTCAGTGGCTAAAAACAAACCAGAAACCTCTATGAAAATAGAGAAAGATCATCAATTAATGTATGCAACAAAAACTGGCTTGTGTTTGGTGTCATTCAAAAAGCAGCTATATTGTGCAAACTGCAAAAATGTTTAGTTCTGATTAAAAACACAGTGGCTTGGATCCATTAAACATTTGTCACCTTGAACCTAACCGTGGAATTTATCTGCTTGATTTAATAACTTTCCAGTTAAGCTGTCTTGGTTGTCAGCACAGTTTGAGGTGTTCGTCTCCTGTTGCGAGGGCTTCGAGAGTTTTAGGATGAAAATGCAAAATTTACACCCGTAAATGACACACAGTCCCTTTGTGAATTTAGACCACACTGTATTGCAGTTTGTTGTATTCAGACTTATTTAATGTCAGAACTGAACCATGTGGCAGTGGGAAATTGTTTCCTCATTCCATGAGTTATTCTCTTTTATATTATGTAGATAGATGTGTCTGTGTGAGCCAGGTGCTTAAGGAAAACATGGTACCAGGATAGATTAWCTGAAGAAGACAACTGTGTGATGTTTTGTATGATTTCACATTTGAAATATCCAAAATAACAAAAAGTGGACTTTTTTTATTTAATTCTTCTTCCTAAGATTGATTTGTTCCTCTTGAGGATAGGTTAACTTCATCTTGTATAAATATGTGGGCTCATTGCAAAATACTTTAGAGGATTAATTACTTTTCCCWGTAAGACTGCAAAGGTTTTCTGTTGGATTTGGTTGGTGGGATGAAGAAGCAGTTGCTACAGAGTTCGTGTTTTATTGTTTTCTTAACTTGTTAGGCGTTTCTTTCCTCTCAAACCATCTGAGATCGGGGCAGTGTTGTGTTATTTGAAACAGTCTTGTTTTGGTGTCATTAGCGTAAGGAACCTGACATTAAAAGGCCTTTTTCAGGACTCCTTTCAAGCTGCTCTGACTGATATTGTTTCTGGTTGTTGTAAAGAGCAGCTGCCAGACATTCTTCTTTTGTTCAAAGTTGTGAAGCCTGGTTCAGGTCTAGTTTCTGTTTGAATGGMGTCATTCTAGATTTAGCTTTAGTTTCTTTTCTTTTCAGGTGGCTGAACATTTGTAAGAATCAGTGATGGGTGTTAGAGTTTAACACTGTTAAGCTCTCCCTAAATTATACCTGTGTACACTCTAAAAATGAAATGTTGGATTTACTTAACCATGTTATGTGACCTGGTTCCACTTAACTGAGTTGAGTCAATTCAAAGCAACATACTCATGTTCTTTGGCTAAAAAACTGGTATATTGCTTTGAATTTACTCAACTCAGTTAAGTGGAACCAGGTAACATAACATGGTTAAGTAAATCCAGCATTTCATTTTTTACAGTGTGAAGGAGGAAATGTTTGATCTGACTCTTCTCTTTTCTTTCAAAATGAAGCTCCAGATGCCATCCCCAGGGA